GAAAGGATTCCTTTAACTATACAAACATTTAAACCTGCACCTGAAACAGTACCCCAAACCAGCAGGTCTATAAAGGTGATTCCACTCATTCATCATATGTCTCGAACATTTGTCATGTGCACAGCTGGGGGGATTCAGGGATGAACAAATTCCTGCCTCATAGAAGCCCCCCAAAAGTTGAAGCCTTTCTGATTAACAAGACCCTAGACTCTATTCCCTTCCTCTTTGAACTGTGAATTTTGTTCATAGGCGTCAACACTAAAAATAACGTGAGAGGCCAAGAAAAACACGTTTATTGCAGAAATTTGAACAATTACAATTGGAGACAACCAAAGTATTCAAGAGCCCAGTGGTTGGGTGGCTAAACGGTGGAACCTCTTACAGTGGAGAGTTACACACCATTGCAGTTTAAATACGTGAAGGCCTTCTAATAGACGAAACAAGGCACAAGTTAGGGTGCCTTTATATCTAAAACTTTCAAGGAAACTAAGGAAATAAGCCAAAAGATCTGTAGGTCAAGAAAGGATAATTTATTTTCTCTATAATTCTTAGTACTTTTTCTATAAAGCAGAGAGGAAGGAAGATGTGTCCTTTCCTTGGGTTGCGTACAACCCAACAGAAATGCTCTGAAAAGTACAAAATACTTTATATACAAGTATAAAATCTGTGGGTTGGACCCATGACTTTATAAAACTTATCTATCCCTCTATCCCTCTTATGTACTAATGCATTTGCCTGCTTCTGCCACCAGGGGGCAGACCGGGCCGTTCCTGTCCTGATCATCGGCATCTTGGTGTTCCTGCCTGGATTTTACCACCTGCGCATTGCCTACTACGCATCCAAAGGCTACCGGGGCTACTCATACGATGACATTCCAGACTTTGATGATTAGCTCCCACCTCAGCCTTGAGAAGATGGAACTGAGCGCAGCTTTCAGACACTGTGCAGAAACTTTGGCTAAGGGCTAAGGAATTCTGCAATTTGCAGAGATGTTTATTAGCACAATGGGCAGATTTTATGGGTCCATCCTTAAGATGTTAACTGAGCTTATAATTGGCTAATTAGGACATGCTCTTATTTTTCACCTCCTGCTCTTGGCAAAAGCTCCTCACACATTTTTCCACGTGAAAGATGTATCATGAAAGAGGAGCAGTGTTAATTAGTTGTATGGGGAAGCAGGAGGGTGATCTGTAGTGGACAGGGTTGCTGCCACCAACCCGCTTTAGAGGCCAGCAGTTCATTTTAAAGAAGTCTTCATTGGCAGTTTGTTATGGTGGCAAAAGGAAGAATGCTGTATGTCAAGTTTCTTATTGCTTATTACTTTTGAAAATATCTAAGTATCTTATCCCCCTACTCTCATTTCTAACCTCATGTTCTAGTAGAAGATGTTGGCAAAATCAAATTTCATTGTGCATGCATCTGTCTTTTTTTTACTTGTTATTAGTAGCAATCAGGAATTTTTAAACCTCACAGCAAGTTTCCAAAATATAAATACTTCTCTGTTCACTAGTCTTGGGCCAGCTTTGATCTGGTCCACCAATCAACTGGCTGGCATTTCACTTGGATCATTCTCTCCTTTGTAGATCAAAGTGTTCTATATATCATGCCTCTAACAACCAGACTTTGGCTTTTCTTTGGGGAAAATGTAAGTAGAGTTTATAACCCTCTCGTTAGCGCCTTGAATTATGATGTAACTCTGCTGAAGATCACATCTGGCCTGGATCCCAGAGGGTTAGACTGCTTTAGTTTGGGTCTGTTTCCTAACTTGCAAAAAGTGACTTATAGTCAGAAAAAATTAAAATGTCAAGTTAAATTTTACCCTTTGAATGAGTGAACTTTAAGCATTTTAAAAAGCATTTTGATGAGCATGTATCTTTGATCTTAGGGCTGCCTTCATTTATAGGTGGCTGGCATAGTGAGGCGGGCTCTGCTTGCCAGTCATTTCTTTACTCTGTGGTTATGGGCTTGTATGACTGGAAACCTAGAAATGACATCAGCTGAGATTTGAAAGGCTGTGGGTAAAGCAAGTTTTTGTGGATGATGAGTTCAGTGTTGGATGGGTTTGACTTTAGGTGTCTGCCTGACATGCAGGTGGATGGTGAGAAGGTGGTTGAGATGCCTGGGTCTGGAGGGGGAGGGAGCCTAGGCTGGGGAGAGAAATTGAGTCAGTGTTGGGACAACATTTGAGAGTCCTCAGGCTTAATATGATCACCCATGAGTGTGTGCGCGTGTAAAACAATATTAGAACTGAGGAGAGAAGGGAAAAAGTTGGGTGATCTGAGGCAGCCTCCCTGGTTAAGTGCATTTACTAATGGGAGGGTAGACAGGGGAGTCATTACTCTAAAGTTCTTGGATTTTGATGGTGAAGATATCAGGTTTATCCTAGACAGTGTTTGCAAAGCAAAGCTCAGACCAGACCAGGTTTTAGCCAAACCAAATTATAAGAGTAATGCTGCGGGGGGGAGGCAATCAAAATGAAATGAAAGGATTTGGTGAAGGGGTAAACCTCTGGTCCTATTGTCCAGTCCCTAAGGTGTCTGAATTTCTTTGTATATACTTCCAAAAGAGTTCAGAGCATATATATGTATATTCCTGTCTAAAATCTCAGGTTCCCTTTGGATAGTCCTGTATTTCTCATTTACACTCTGTTACCTCTTTCCACATTCATGGAGATCAGCCACGTTCTTTTTTTTAAAGATTTATTTATGCATACAGAACTGGGGTACAGGCCAGAGGTGCAGGGGCGATGAGAGGAATCACCAGAGACAGAGTGGGGAGCAGAACAGGCAGATCATTGAAGTACACTGCTGAGGGGAGCAGCAGGCAGGTCAGGAGAGGTCTGCTTCACCATGTGGGTCACTCATGCTGAAGTGGCTTTAGCTACTTAGTGCTGTACCACCAGGGAGGGCCCAGTCACGTTCTTTTTAATGTACGTTGCAAGTGTGGTTTGCCATACTGTGCGTACAGTGAGAGGATCCTAATTCAGGCACCCTCTCGTGAATGTCCCTAAGGAATGAGCCAGGCTGTTCTATTTAACATTAGGCTCATGATCTCATGAAACACTGTTTATTAAGCCAAAGTCAGATTCCCTGTATAAGGCATTGACTGTAATTGTATATTCTGGTGCTTTTTAGAGAACATCTAAAACCCCATGATAATTTTAAAACTTTTTCTAAACCCTCTGTCAGACATGCCAAGCAATCCATTATATGTTCTATTTCATTTTTTTCCCACTGGGTAAAATGCTTAGAAAATAGGTTGTGTATTTGGGATTCACATTAGGTAAAGCCTGAATGCCTCTTACCAGGTAGGAAAACCAGATGCTTACAGGGCTAGACAAGTTACTAGAAGAGAGGTAGGTGGAGATAGAGGTAGAGGTGTAAGGAGTGATGGTCAACTCAGTCAATGTACATTTTTACCGAAAATCCGCCTTCTCTCCACGCTCCCACTGCCTCCGTTGTCAGTCAGCCGTCTGTCTTGGCTTGTAAGGGTTTTCTGGCAAGAATGTCTCTCGGTCATTTCCAAGGTTAAAAATTGCCAGTCACCTCAGCTGTACTGCGTTTGGTGGAGGTTCCAGGTCACTGCCTTTGGTTGTATGTCCCCGGCCAGTGTGCCAGAGCGTTGGCCACTTCCTCTACCAAGGTCTGTGGGTTGCCGGGGGCACAACAGGAAAAGACAGCGCTTGGTACTGAGGAGCAGGTTGGCAGGTTGCAAACTAGTCACAGATGTTGCCCTTTTTTGTAGTTTCACAGGATCTCTGACTTTTTAGTTTTCTTCTTAAAAGATCGAGTTTTCTGAGAGGTTGCAGCTAACTGGAGCAAGGTAGTAAAGCAACTTGGGGCAGAATTCCCCTGCTCACTGCAGTTCTCACAATAGCTTGGTGACTGCCCAGATTTTCATTCTCTTCTGTGAGGACAAGAGTGTCTTACCCTCCCACGGAGCCTAGCACGAAGCTTGCCGGCACGTAGGTTTAGCACCACAGTCTTCATTCCAGGACACTGTCCCTTGGAAGAATGGGCCGGAGAATACACCACTTGATTCACTTTCCTGTGTGACTGTCGGCTGCCTGGCAGGCCAGCTACTTCTCACACTGGTTTGGGGCTACCTCAGTCCTCTGCCAGTCCTCTGCTCAGGGTTGTGAGGGAAGCTGGTAGAGGGCAATGACAGCTTCAATGTTCTGCTGACCTTCACTGGGTCATAAACCTAGTGAATCTGCCATGTCCTTGCCTGCCATCTAAGTTCCTGCTTAGCTTCCTGATCTCACCGGTGTGACATTTAGTCATGGTTTGGTGCCATGGTGGAAAGGGCACTGGTTTGAGTCACCCCAGGTAACAGTGGGATTGGGCAAATTGTCTCTGGAGCCTTGGTTTCCTTTCCTCATAAAGTGGGGATGAACTAGAAAGGGTAACTGAGAGGTAAGTAAGCCTTGTGGGAGCCTTTCCACAGAGTCTGTAGGCTCACTAAGCGCTGAATGACAAGTTGCTGTTGGAGAAAAGAAGGTCCTTGGGCTGTGGGGTGAAGCCAGGGAGGAAGAGGAAGCCCACCTGTTGTACTTGAGGGCAGCTTGTGGAACCTGCTGTTCTGTGGCCCAGCTACTGGAACCAGGAGCCAGAGCCAGCTTGGCAGCAGGCCCAGCCAAGGCAGGGCCTTGGCGTAACTTACAGAGGGGAGGTGTGAGAGGGTCGCCAGGCCTGGCATGTAGCCTGCAGCTGTGTGTGTGGAGGCTGGAACAAGGGGAGGAAGGACCAGAGTACCTATTGTAGCCAACCTGTGAGCCATAGAGACCCCCCTGCCCAGGAAGTACCTGCTGGGCAGGCTGAAGATGAGGTGATGCGGTGGGAGCACCGTCAGGCCACACCTCCCGGAGTTGGTCTTCTCTGCGCTTTCTTCCCATAGGCCCTGTGCCCCTTTTTCTCCATCTGCACATGTGCTCAGCCCTGTCCCTTGTTAATCACAGTGAGGTCAGGCAGCCCAGTAACTCCAGTATCACCCTGGGGCTTGTTAGGATCACAGGCTCTCGGGCTGGCCCTAGGCCTGGTAAATCAACCTGAATTTTCTTTTTTTAGAACCTGCACTTTCACAAGGCCCTCAGGGGTTCATGTGTGTCAGTGTCTGAGAAGCACTGAGGGTTTGGGTGCCCTGTGCCTCATATCCTCACTTGGGACTGGGCCTCCTCTGTCGGTGCCAGTGGGGGAGCGGGGGTGGGGTGGGGTGGGAAGGAAAAGAGAACACCCAGAAGGTTTAGTCTTTCCTCCTCCGTGCACTCCTCAGCTGAAGCAGTAGCTCGCAGCATCGTGAGGATGCTTCATAGACAGGACCAATGCAGGAAGGCTGTGAAGATCTTCACTCAAGTCCTGCAGGTGGGGAAGGCCTGCACAGGAGTGGGGGCACGCTTTAGGGCCCTGAAGACCGGGCCGAGGGATCAGTGAGCAAGCAGTTCCCGGCCCAATGGGGCACAGGATGTGTTTTCTCTTGGTTTCTGTGGGATGTAGGCCTGGTGACTGAGGTTTACCCCTGCAGGTGCTGGTCTTCTCTCTGAGGGCCTCTGACGCCTCCATTCTTCCATCCCTCTACCTGCTTGAGAAGCAGCAACTAGAAAGTGCTCCAATTTAAACCATCAGCCTTCTAGTCCAAGATGTTCCTTTGAGAGAGCTTTCTCTAGAGTGATTGTCAGCTGTTTGCCCTAGATTCTGGCCACCTACAGGATGCCTGTCCTCCTATCACTGATTCCACAGCTGCAGAATCACCATCCCAGCCCAGGAGGGTTTAGCTGCTGGAAGGGTTGAGAAGTCGGGTTGTGAGCATGTATGACTTAATTTGCTCACTGACAGAGCTCTGAGTTTTCCCTTCTTGGGGATGTCAGGAAGTGCCAAGTGTTTTTCCCCTGGCATGGAGAGCCGTGGATGGATGCGGCCGATGCCAGCATCCAGCATCCTCTCCCCGTGATCCGGCGGGATGCTCTTCCCTGGCTCCTGGGTGTTTGCATCTTGTCCCCAACAAGAGTGAGGGCATCTCCCCTGTCTTTCCTCCTCCATGGGCAGGAAGAGAAGTTAAATTCTCGGCACAGAGATTAGGATTTTGCAATCTAGAAAAGCAAAGAAGGCAGGTACAAGCGCAGCGCCTGTTAAGTCACATTGGATTTTGGCAGGGAGACCCACATTTACTTACTAAGGCCTAGGTCACTGGGACTTGAAACTTGAGCGTACTTGGAGATAAAATATCTCTATGAGAGGAACTCAATTTAAACATTAACCAAGAAAGCAGACATAAAGCCTCAAAGGCAGTTCTGTTTTAATACAATTAGATCCTGCAGTGTCTTAACTATTCTCCATCACAGCTGTAATCTTATCTTGGTCTTATCTCCAGACTGACTTAAACTCAACTGTTAACTCACCTTGAAGCCCATTTTTAAGTTTACCCATGAAATATTTGGGGGGCACCTACTGTGGACAGTACTTTGCTTGGCATCCAGATGGTCCCCTGCGTTCAGAAGTTCACGTTTAGGGGGAAAGCGATCCATTCCTGAGCTAGCTAAATAAATGAAATAATATTGACAAATGGAACTTTAGAGAGTCACTGTTCGGTAGCTTAGCAGGCGCTGAAAAGTCTGGCTGACACAAAGCCTGAGCTGGCACAAGACCAACTGGGAGGGAAACTTGGGCTGACCCAAGCTGGGCAAGGTTGGGAGTCCCCGGGTAGGGGCCCAGAGAGTTGGGGATTACAGTTACCTAGGTGGATGGGGCCAGTTAAGGAAGGTGGAACAATGATAGTTTTCAAATTTAGGTTTTTTCCCTCAGTTATCTGCACATACTAAAGCA